ATATATTAGATATATATTAGATATATTAGATATATATTAGATACATTAGATATACTGTATATTAGATATATTAGATATATTAGATATATTAGATATATATTAGATATATTAGACATATATTAGATATATATTAGATACATATTATTTAAATGATTATTTATATACGTCTGCTCCAGATATCAACCGGTACTGATACGGTGGCTCAGTGGTGAAGTGAAGTGTTGCCTCTTCACGAAGGTGATGGGCTGAAACAACTCAGTCATTTTCTGCCCCCTAGAGGACAGGATTAAAATCCTATGGATCTCATCCTCTGTTCACACCAGTGGAGTTGCTGCACCAGCATTCTACAGACAGTCACCTGGTTATTAAGACGGAGTCATGAAATGAGCTGCAGTGCTGCCACCTAGTGACCAGAGGCTTGTTTAGCATCGATAATGTTCAGTGTTCATGTGTTATGAAGGAGTTAACAGTCACTGGTATGGGGGAGGAGGGGGAGGAGGGGGAGGAGAAGCTGGACTGAGAGAAATAAAGGAGTTTAGAACCAGTGAGCGCAGAGACGGAGGCGTCTGATTGGTCTGTCGCCGGGACATTGAACTATTTTCAGAACACTCATCATTTGGTCAAACCCAGACGTTGGGTTACATATATATAAGAATATATAACGGTTCTTACAGATGTTACATAATGATGCTAACATCGGACGACAGATAATGTCGGACGACAGATAATGTCGGACGACAGATAATGTTAAGCCACACCCACACAGCCGTCGGACTCACCTGTTTGAAGGATTGGTTATTGAGCAGGTCCTGCCCAGCCAGTCGCAGCGTGCAGAGGAACACAAAAAAAAATTGGAAACACATGCAGAGATTAGCACTTGAAGCAGTGGAAGAGGCTAAAGCAGAGAACAATCAGTGAACACGCCTGGAAGAACACTCTGAGGGAACACCAGGACCAGGATCCAAGTCCTCCGAGGAGCTCAGGAACTCTGCACTGACGGTCCAACATATTTGTGAGATGCAGAGGTGAAACAGACTTCCTGTCCCAAACAGGCACGGCTCAGACCTCTGTTGGATCTACATCTGTTCTGGCACCAACAACCCCGAGGAAGACAAATGAAGGTGGTAACTAACCCTACGGAGGGCAAATGTAAATGAGCTCATTTATGAAAGAGCTGTAAAAAAAAAACCCCCAAAAAGCAGCAGTGCCATGTACTGTATAAACACGGCTGGAGCTGACTGGGCTCCTGCCAACTGGAACCAGGATGTCGGAGCCAGGAAGATCTGGGCTTCCAACGTGGCTCCGTTCACAGAGATCTGACTTCATCCAAGTGACGGTGCCAGAAAAAACCTGCTCAGTCTAAATAAACACCCAGAGTAAATCACTCTGACATAAAACCCTGCAGCCCAGAGTTCCTGCTCAGAACCATTCAGACCAGGGATGTTCCATATCGACTTTTTGCCGATATCCGATATTGTCCAAACACTTCAGTTACAATTCTGATATCAACTGATACCCATATGTAGAGGGCCAGTGGTGGAAGGTAAGTGCCGTCTGTTCACTAAGGTCATGGGTTAAAGCAGTGTTTCTCAATTATTTTCTGCCATGCACCCCCTAGTGGACAGAAGTGTTTTCACCCCCTCCATTTAAATACTATTACTATAGCATCTGCTAATATTTATTTGTTTATCTGTACAAACAACAGCATGAGCTGCAATGCTGCCATCTAGTGTCCTTCACTTTCATATACAGCCATTTTTCCCCAAAACTATTTTTAGATCACACACATCATTTGGGGAAACCCAGGAATTGCGCCCCTTTCAGGTCTCCAGCTGTTCTGCAGATACAAGGATGAAGCTGGAGCTCAGTGGCGTCGCGACAGAGAAGCTGCTCCTGTTAGCTGAAGCTAAAGCTACATTTCCACTAAACGAGACTCAGGCCCTGTTTGCACGACGACGATACGACTACAGATCGCAGAGCTTTAGCGCCAATTGGACCTGGTGTTGTCCCAGAGTGGACAGGTTTGAAAACTTTAGCGCTGAGACGACACGGTTAGCCCCGCCCCCGTCACCTTTCAACCCGGTAACTCTGCTCAACGCCACACGATAACAATTAAAGCGGAAACCATGCTACTTACTACCGTGCTGAAGAAGCTAATTGATGTGCTACAGTTAGCCATCTCCGCCTTTTAATGTTTGCAAGTTTTATACGTACGTTCTGTGGTTTCTTTTTCTGGTTTTCTGAACATCTTGTTCAAACTCTTCTGGTGTTAGTATGTAAGAGCTTGGTTGACACAGCGCCACATACAGGCCTGGCATATGCACTACAGGGACCGGAGTTTGTTTGTGCCAGATCGGTGTAAACACTCGCCGTGTAGACGGGGCCTCAGGTCAGCTGCAGTCGACGATAACGTACGACCAGACGCCATCGGCGCTATATCTCACGTTTACACGATGATGATCCAACAACGGAGCCCACTCCGTTGTTGGATCATCATCGTGTAAACGTGGCGTTTAGTATGAAAAACGTAAATCAGCCCATGATCAGGTGAGGCACAAATGGAAATGACAAAAGAGTTTTTCTGAGTACTGAATATTTGCCATTCGGGACCAAACGGTACTGTTTAGTGGAAATGTGGCTGTGGGTTCAACGCTGCTGCTCAGCCCCGTCAACACATGCAGCTGCAGCCACAGAGGCTGAAGTGACAAACGATGGAAACATTCATCAGAACAACTCCACGCACTGACTCGACGTGTCCAAACCTGCTGTCTCTGATAGGCTGAAAACATCTTCTCGATGTCCTTCAGGTCCAGAATCTTGAACGCTCTGAGGTCATCGATGTCGTTCCAGATAGTACCGTTGATCACATTCTGAAAATATAGGAATAAGACATTTAATTTACGGACCTGATAATGTCTGTGCTGATTAACAGATTCAATTGTATGTATTATGTAGAGATGTCGGAAATTAACTTTTTGCCGATATTGTGCAAACACTTAATTTCCAATTCCAATATCAATCAATACCGACACAGGTCTGGTCATATTTATTTATCTGTACAAACCACTGTCTGAGTTGCTGCACCAGCATTCAGCAACACTGATTATTAAAATAGATGAATAAAATGAGCTGCAATGCTGCCCTCTAATGGCTTACACTGTCATATACAGCCATTTTTCCCCAAAACTATTTTTAGGTCAAACATCATTTGGCGAAACCCAGGCGTTACATTATCAGGGTTTTTTTAATCGAAAGAAAAAAACGATTTATGATGACGTAATTTTGCTAATATCGGGTCGGTCGATATTATCGAACTCCCCTAGTATTATGTCAAAATGTTTTTAACTAACTTTATTGTAGCTATAGCAACAGTCAGTGAAACCTCTACAGATGGATTGTCTTCTTCCTTTCATTTTGATCATTTTCAAAATAAAACGATGCATCGGGAATCGGTTGCAAATTGATGAAAATCGTGAATCACCTTGTTCCGTCGTTGAGTGTATTTGTTACATCTCTGGTAATAACACGTGCGTTCTCTCACCTCTCCGAGTTTTGACCAGTTGAAGGACTTCAAAGGATGCGACGGCTGAGGGATGGACTTGGAACGCATCGCGTTCGTCACGCCGAAGGACGACGGGACAGGAGGGGGCACGCCAAAGACAGGTGGGGCTCCTGGTGGAGGGGGCGGGCCACCAGGTGGCGGTGGAGGTGGTGGAGGAGGCGGGCAGCTGATAGGTAGAGGGGGAGGAGGGGGGGGGGGGGAGCCCGAGGTC